AAAAAGACCAAGCTTACTGCAGGTTGGAAATTTACTCACCCCCATGGCTCATCTTTTAGCCTAGGAGCCCTGGTAGCGTAGTGGATTACAAGCTGGGCCACCAAGCACAAGGTCAGCAGTTTGAATCTACCAGTTGCTCCATTGGAGAAAGATAAAGCTTTCTGCTCCTGTAAAGATTTATAACCTCGGAAACCCTATACAGGGTCGCTATGAGTCTGAACCAACTTGGTGGCACAGAATCACCAACCACCAACCACCATAGGGTGAACAATAACCCCAGAGAGGTATGCACTCATTTATTAGAATAATAAACCACATGAGATCAAAAGATCAGCCATATGAAATTAAAAGGGCAACATTTGAATCAAGTTCAGAAGGCAGAAGTGGCAATATTCATCTCAAATGAAATAGTCATTACGGCAAAATCTACCATAAATAAAAGGAACGACATTACGTAAGAATTAAAGTGTCAATTCACCAAGAAGATAGAGCCATAATAAATATTTAAAAATCCAGTGATAGGGCTTCAAAATCTATGGAATCACAGCATTAAAAAGAAAAATAGACAATCCTACACTAATAGTTTTAGTGTGGTGCTATAAGAAGCACTGGACTGCTAAATGAAAGCTCAGTTGTTCAAACCCAATAGCCGCTCCTTGGAAACCCTATGCAGAGTCACTATGAGTTGGAACTGGATCAGTGGCACTTAACAACAATAGTACGAGATTTCAACACACTTTTGGTGAAGGACAGGAGAATGAGAAAGAAATTTAACAAAGATACAGAAGATGTAAGTGCCACAATCAAATAATTTGACCTCATAGACATATACAGAACACTTCACCTAGCAGCACAAAGTATACAATCCTTTCCAGTGCACATGAATCATTTTCCAGAATAGGCTACATTTTAGGCCACAAAGTAAGCCTTGATAAAATCCAAAATATTAAGATAATACAAAGTATTTTCTCTGATCACAATGCTAGACAAGTAGAAACCAATACTTGAAAGAGCAAGGGAAGAAAACAAAAAACATGGAAATGAATAACACCTTGCTTAATAACCAATGGATAATAGAAGACATCGAAGATGAAATAAATGCCTAGAATGAAAATAAAATGAAAACACAACAGGACAAAACCTGCAGGACACAGCAAACACAGTGTTGAAACGTCAATTTATAACAATAAGTACACATCCCCACAAAGAAGAGACAAAATCAAAATATTAACCCTACAACTTGAACAAATAGTGTAGCAAAAGAAGCCCATAGTAACCATAGAAAGGAAACAATAAAGAAGAGAGGACAAACACAGTAATAAGAATCAACAAGTCCAGAGGTTGGTCCTTTGAAAGAATCAATAAAATGGACAAACCACTGGGAAAATTGACAAAAGAAAAGGACAAAAAGCAAGTTACCCAAATAGAAACAAGACAGGTGGCATTACAACAGAACAAATCAAAATAAAAAGGATTATAATAAAACACTATGAAAAACAGTATTCCAACAATTTTTAAAATATAGAGGAAATGGACAAAATATTAGAAATACGCTATCTACATAAACTAACACAAGGTAGAAAAACTGAACAAACCCATTAAAAGAGATTGAGGTAGTACAGTGACTGTTCTTAATATGTCTCTTTTAGCATGGTCTTTGTAACTCGGGTGGGACTTTGTTAATAGGTTGTATGGGTCTCTATTGCAGAGACTGGTTAGTTTTGCAATCCTCCTGGGTTTAAAAGGCGTCATCTCAGAAGCAGGAACAGAGGATCTCAAGACCACCAAGAAAGTCAAGTCATGAGCAGAACATAAACCCTCTGTGTGGAGAGGCGGAAGTGTTGGCAGAAGTGCCAATGGCAGGTGGCAACACTGAGACAGAGAGCAGGCCTCCAGACCCACAGATGGAGGGTGAATGTCTTCAGACAAAAGGCTTGTTTGCAGAAATGCCCTTTGGATGTTTACCAACAGCCCTAAAGGAACTTTGCGAAACTTGCTGGAGCAAGGCCGAGGCTAAGAACCGTGTGGCTGAGAGGCCAAGCCCACTGCTGTAGTCAGTTTTGACTCATGAAGACCCTATATAGGGTTTCCAAGACTGGAAATCTTTATGGGTGCAGATAGACACATCTTTCTCCCACAGAATGATTGATGGGTTTGAGCCCCTGAGGGGCTCTTCTTCTGTGACTTTATCTTGACAATGCTATTCTGAAGGTTTTTGGTGGCCAACCATTCCGAAGTGATGTTTCTCCATCTTCCTAGTCTGTCTTAAGTCTGGAAGCTCTACTGAAACTTGTCTCCCATGGGTGACCCTGCTGGTTTTTAAAACACCAATGGCATAGCTTCCAGAGCCACAGCAACACACAAGCCACCACAATATGACAAACTGACAGATGAGTGATGGAAATGTATCTTATGCTGCTACGAAAGGATAGTCAACAAACCATTACTTTCTAAATTAATGAAAAAGGCTTTATTTAGGCTCTTCTATTTTAAATCCCAAAAACTGGCATGGCTATAGTTGGGTGCAGAGTCAAGTAATTAGCAGTCAGACCAGAAGTATCCTAGTATTAGCGTAGCTCAGTAATGGGGGGAAGGGTTCAGTCAATCATGTTAAGATTAGCCAATGACTGACCTTCTGTTTGTCTTCTTTCTTTTCTATATACAAGCCTCATTGTACCTAGCTTAATTTGAGCCATTTGCTTTTCTCTATATGCATATAGAGTAACTGGTGTACTGATGTGGGACTGCAGGATAATGCGCTGGACTGCCAGATCGGTTTGAAATGCAAGGTTGATGGTTCAAACTCACCAGCCACTCCTTGGAAACCCTATACAGCGTGGCTATGAGTCAGAACCACCAACTCGACGGCACTCAACAACAACAGAGTAACTGCTCAGTATAAACCTTACGTTTCAGTTTCTTCAAGTTTTGGTTATTTTTTACAGAAGTCTTTTGCATGAAGAAAGTATGTTATGAACAACTGGGGATCTAAGAAGTGCAGGCTGTCCAAAATCCTAGTTTTGAGGCAATGTAATCTATCCCTACAGGATACAGAAGAAATGCCCCCAAAAGGGTTTCCAAGGCTGTAGTCTTTATGGACTCCACCTTTATTCTACAAAGCGACAGGGGGTTCAAACTGCCAACATTTGGGTCAGCAGCTGAGCGCCTAACCACTGTGACACCATGGCTCCTTAATATGTGCTTACAATACTCATTGTTTTAATTGCAACACTAGGGTAACAACCATCAAGTCAGAGTTTTTAAAGTAATTTTGAGTCAGGAATAAAGTAAATGAAGAAAAGCAATAAAAGACTTCAGATCAAGAGAAAACTCTGAAGCTGACCACATTTATTAAAGGCATTCTCTTTACAACATTATTAATATGCATGATTCACACAGCAAATATATTTTCACCATTCATTCAAATACGGTATAACAATTTACTTAAGAGTATAAATATATATGTATATACAAAACTTTACAGACACTGAAAAGTTTCTGACCAGTGCAGTAATGAGTTTAAAAAGGAGAAAGTAGGGGTTAAATACTGAACACTAAGATGATAGCTACCATACTAAGATTTTAGGAAGTTCTTGAAAGAAATGCAACCTTCAGGAAACTCCTTATTATGTACACCTGCATGTGATAAAAACCTGACAGCAAAACTGGTGTTTGGTAGCACAGTGACGACTGGAGATGACCTAAAGGACTTCACAAGGAGCATGAGCTCAATTGCCAAAAATCAAAGGAAAAAACGTAGATGAACTTCCCAAACTGTACCATTTTCAAGTACTGAAAACATGGCACATGGTTCCTTAACACTGTTGTGACTAACACGGCCAGTATTCATTCACAGTGTCTCTAGTTTCCACAAAGGAATCAGTTTAGTACTAACTGTCAAATTCCTCCAGGTAAGCCAAATGTGTGAGTGGTATCTGCAAGTGAGAAAGGCCAGTGGAAATGAAAACGAATTACTGTCCAGAGACTGCTCAGTATCACCCAAGCCAGACCACTAAGTATCTTTTCAAATCACACATAATCTTGAACAGGCCAAAAAAAGTATTAATGGAAAATCCCACAAAACAGAATCATATTACCTTTATTACTTGACTATAGATAAAGGTCTTATTTCTTTTTTAAAAACTGTGAAAATACAGTAAGAATCTTGATCTTTATCAAATCATCTTCCAGATTCTTTCATGTCACCTTTAACAAAGCAACATTATCAAGGCCCAGCCTCTGGTCTCCTGACACCACCTACCGGGTGAGTGTGATTCTAGCAACATTTATATCGGTTTTAAATTATATTCCTAGGACCCTCATTATGAAACATCGATAACATAGTGAGCTACTATGACAGCAATCATGTTTTGGTAGCTGCTTATAATCTGAAAAGAAACAGGAAACCACAGCCTTAAAGGCACTATTCAAAATGGTAGCCAGCTGACCCTTTAAGAAAACTTTTAGATTTAATAATATAAGAAAAGCTGCTTTAGTTAAACTCATATTGGCAATTTCACCATAAATCTCATCCTAGCTATTTGTAGAGGAGAGAAGGCATAGACATAAATGAAAATGATTCATCAGGTTTCTGTTCATGAGAAAATAACTATTAACAGAGTAATGACTCAACCAGAGAAAACATATCAAGGTTAAAGATGAGCATTTCAAATTCAAGGCAATGAGAAACTAAAGAAATAACCATTCACTTGGTTTCTGAATTCCAAATTTCATTCTGTTACCACAGTGTTCCAATTTGGTTAACATCTGTTAATATTGCCTGCTGGGAAACATTCAAGTGACCATTCAGGCATTTTCACATCAGGATTCCATAATGCTGACAGTCTCCATACCCAATGTAAGACCACCAACATACATGGACTTCTTTGAAATGTTTAAGCTGATTTCTTGTTTTTATATTCTCCTGCTTAAACGAAAACTGCCTCTCAAGTGTTCTTTCCTCTTTCATGGATGGCTATTAAGTGCCTACTCATTGGTGTTCACACCCACTGAATCCTACTCGATGAGCATTGCTCCGAGACCACTGCTGGAGACAAGCCAGAGAGTTCATAGACCCGCTTTGGGACACCTTTTTCCTTACTGAATTCAGTCCTACTGCAGTTAGAATGTTGTTCTCTGGTAACTTGATTACAAGTTTTCAAGGGCCTCAACAAATCAGCTTTTCCTTCTGACTCAAAACAAAAGAGAAGTGACTTGGCTACAGATACTAGTTCCTTGTGGCTAACTTGGGGCATTCTATTCTCATAGCTGTTGACAGAAGTAGAGGATACACTGAAGTAATTATGAAAATCATTGGCCAAGTTGCAAATGCTTTCAACACAGTTCTTGAGAAGATTTATATCACTGTAAGAACCTATGCAAGACAAAAAAGAAAAAGTTAATTAATCTTTTCAGTTTTTATCAGGTATTTATTACTGTTATATGAGTAGACATCTTTTAAGTCAAAGTGCCCCTGATTATAAACTAAAGATTATTGTGCTTATCCGTTAGATATAAAATATGGAGTCCTGGTATAGTATTGTAGGGTAAGCAAGCACTGGACTGCTAACCAGAAAGTTGGCAATTCAAACCCACCAGCTGCTCCTTGGAAACCCTATACAGCATCACTATGAGTCAGAACTAACTCAGTGGCACTTAGCAACACACATATAATATACATACGTAATATAGAAAGAGAGAGAGAAAGAGAAAGAGAAAAAACTCAATTATACCTACTCCTTACTTACCTACCATCTCATTATCTGACATTTTGCATTTATAACAATAGTAAAAAGTCTACTACCCATCTTTTGAACTGTAACAATGTACATCTGGAAGTAGCCAATGCTGCAGAGCAAGTCAAGAATCCTACTGGCTGTGATGGTGAGAAGGTTATGTGTCAACTTGGCTGGGCCGTGACCTTCAGTGACTGGATGGTTATGCAATGATCGGGATCTGATATGGTCATCCTCCATTTTTGCAAAACACTGATTTTTACATAATGACCTAGTCTTTGGGTCTTACCAGGTCAGTAAGTGAGGAGTACGTGTATTCAACTTCTTAGATTGAGGATTAACATCAATAAAGAAGCGTTAGGCTTAATTAATGACAGACTAAAAAGAAAAAATAATATTTTGATTCCTTAAAATATAAAATTCTGATTAACTACCAGTTTGAAGTATATACCTCTCAGTGTAGAAATAACAACTTGGATAGTTTGTTCTAAATAGTGTTTTAACTTCAAGAATTCTGGGGCAAAATTAATCATCTTCTTCAGATGTTGATAGCCAACGTTTTCTTCTTGTACTTGAGCTCTGAAACTTTTCTGTGTAAATAAAGTTAAGGTTATTTAAATTACATAGCAGGTTACATGGCAATAACATTAAGCCAATAGGATTTAATACTGCCCAAATCTTATCTTTAAATGAGTTTAAATTTCTTTACCAGTGCTTAACTTAATTTCTACAAGCAAGATGAAAATATATGAACAATTATTATTTTTCAAACAAAATTAGAATTTCAATGAATTTTAAATCTAAGTCCTATCATCCTATGATATGAAAATTAAGCTATAGTACATTAAAAGTTAAATTTATTTGATTTTTAAGGGCTTACTTTTATAATGTCTTTCATTTATTTAAATTTTTTAAATTTAAGCCATACGAATCACTGTACTATTTAACACTGATTATATGCTTGGTGGTGCACTGGATAAGCACTCAGCTGCTAACAAATAAGTCTGTGTTTCAAATGAGTGTTAACTTGCTTACGTAACGTTGACAACTTTGGAACCCTTAATTGGGCAGTTCTACTCTGTTCCATCCACTCATTATGTATGAGTCAGAATTGACTCAACAGAAATGGGCTTGTGGTTTTTCTATTTCTCATGACATGGAAATAAAATAATTTGTCAAATTCACTTGCATTTTAAGATCTTTAATCACATGATTAAATAAAAATTATTTTTTAGCTGATAATGACTACCCAAGCATAAGCTGACAGTTCCAAACCAGCTGCAGTAATCAGCAGATAAAATATATTCATCAATTTCTTTATAATCCCTTATCCATTTATTCTAAGATAAATTATAACATTCACGGGGAAGTATCAAGAGAGCTAGTGTACATGTTTCAATTCAACATGTACCAGAGAGTCTATGGATGAGGAAAAACTGATAATCTAACTTATCAAAATTAAAAACAATGTAAAACTTCTCTTACCGTTTTCCATTCAGCAAAGACATTTTCCAGAGATCTAATCAATCCTGTGGCATTAGCTTTCATCTGTTTGGTAATCTATAGAGAATGTGAAAAGACTTAATTATGTAAATAACTATTCATAAGTGTAAGTATTGTAGAACCGAATGGGCTCAGATAAGGAAAAGAGTTCTACTGTAGAAGTCAGAAGACTGCAATTGTGTCTCTGAGACTATAATTAAATAGCTACAGAGTATGTACCAAAATCATTTCAGTGGAATTCCTTTCAAGATAAATTACATTGATTTTTATACTAAATATAGATACTCGCCAATGTTCATTATTCTACTTGAATTTGACTTATATATATTTAAGCATGTATAGGAATGAAATATCCAAATCGTCCCTTGGAAGAGAATGGTATAACTAACTTACCAAATAAATATGATATTTTAGGAAATTTACAAATATTTTATTATCTGACTCTCGATAACTACACATGCTATTGTCCTGAGTTTGGAAAAGAGGAAACAGATTCAGTGTGGTTTGGTACCTGCTCCCAGGTCATAGCTCCTAAGACTCAGAACTAGAGTTGTTGTTACTGTTAGGTGCATCAGTTCATTCTGATTCATAGCAACCGTGTATAAGGGTTTCAAAGCGGTAAACGTTTACAGGAGCAGAAAAATCTCATCTTTTTCCCGTGGAGTGGCTAGTGGATTTGAACTGAACTTGTGGTTGGCAGTCCAGTGCTTATCCTATAGCACCACCAGGGCTCCCAGAACCAGGGCTGGAACTGCTAACTTCTAAAGCTTTACTTTTGTACTGCTCAGTGCTGCCCCTAAGGAGTTTTGGTGTGTTGCCATAGGATAAGCACTGAGCTGTAAGGTTGGTTAGAACCCCAAGGTTGGCAGTTCAAACTCACCAGTCACCCCCTGGAAACCCTATCTATACAGGACTGCTATGAGTTGGAACCAACTTGACGGCACTTAACAACAATAACAACAATGCTGCCTCTAAAGGGTTTTCTGGGTTAATCTGCCAGGAATTTCTGGTTTAAGTATTGAACTGGCAGGAGAAAGATGAGGCTTTCTGCTCCCTAAAGATTTATAGCCTTGTAAACCCTATTATGGGTCACTGTGAGTTGGCACCAACTTGACAGTACTTACTAAAACCACCCACAGAAACTCTTCCCTAGACCTAATGCAAATTTCCTCTGTGTAATAAAAACAAACAAAAGTCTTTTTTTTTTCTTTTTCCTTTCTCTGACTCCAGTTTTAAAATTTTAACTTCAATTCCTTATTTTCTATTCTTTGGATATTTTGGTTTTCCTTCAGTAGATTCTTAGGAGTTTTATGCTAACCTGTTTCTGTAAACTAGTATTGTAGCATGAAGAACAAAGTGCAGCTATGCCACGCTGCAGAAAGCAAATGAGAGGAAGGAGGCAGAGAGCTGCACGAAGATGCAGGTAAGAGAAGGTATACACAAGGTGAGTATCCTAAAGACAATACCAAAACTAACACTCAGAGCACACTGCTTTACAGCTTATGAAACACAACTACACAAATTATTTCATTTCTAGTTTTCATTAACTTATTCTTTGCCCTTATGCACTAACACCACAAATATTGTGTTTCAACTAGGGACAGAAAAAGTGTTTTAATGGTAAACGATGCTGCTGATGAGCAAAACCAAGTTTGAGATGTCAGAGGTGTTTTTGTATGAGCTCTAACAGTCCAATTGTCTGTTTCCCCAAAGCAGTCTCATATCCATGGATTGATGCATGTTTAGATCCAATGATTTTCTCTTGGTGAAAGTCAGAATTCTTTCCTTTGAAATTTTTAATGTAAAACACACACATACAATCCCACAGGGAGAAAAGAAATGTATAGAAGCCAGTGAAGTGACTGGAGACTTGCCAGGCACTATGCTTAGCAGTTTCATACACATTATTTTTAATCTCACATAATCCTCAGAATGATTTTTAAATGCATGGCCATACCCTCCCTTTTTAAACACGGGACAAGTGAGGTGCCGGTAAGTTGCTCTAGGAAATACAAGAAGGAGGGAAACAACTTAGTGCTGTCTTTCCCCAGTTTTGTGTAATTTTCCAGGGCAGAAATAAACCTATCACCCAGTAATCAGAGGAAATGGATGGAGAAGGCCCTGTCTCACATAGAGAGTTTCTCCTCAGCTAAGGCAACTTTAAGTATATTCATGCCAAGTTTTTCCAAAAAAGAATAAGATTTTTAAAAATCTAGCTTACTCCATACCTCCCCGGAAACAGCTACGTTGAGTGGTGGGAGCTGACACTCCCACACATCTACATTCCTAGATAAATCAATATATCCTTAAATGAGCTGACTTCCTTGTGGGAATGATTTCAGGAAGTTAAACGTCCCCCATGTCATTCAGATTAAAGCTCTGCCCCTAGCTGCTCTGACTCCAGAAAGAGTAATGCAGATGGGTAAAGATGGTCTGCACAACAATTTATTACAACCAAGTTCTAGAACAGAAAAAACTCAAATTGTGAAATTCACTGCTGTAAGATTTGACCTTTTATTTTCTTATATCCACTTTACTTACTATTATACTTAGGAGCAAAATCAATTAATGCATGAGCAATCCACTTATGTAACATAGTGAGTTTGTTTTAGAGTCAGACAGCGAGAACATAAAATACTGATCCAGAGCTCTGTAAATTGTGTGATGGGTTAAGGTCTTAGAAACTCACGAAATCACAATACTTCCTACTGCTATGAAGTTCACTGTTATTTTATGTAAAGTAATGAATGCAGTAGCTATCCAGAAAAGTGTTTCAGTAAATAAATAGCTCCCAAGGACCTATAACTGTGATGCGAGAAGAAACAGGGTAACTAAGGGACTTGCTAAATGACAGCAAGACAGTAACAAAGCCAAGTTTCAAACATAGGGTTCTAGTGTCACAACCCACCTGAGACAGCACTGATTATGTGCTTTAATGCTAGTTAGCCAGGGGTGTGCAAAAGAAGGCATATTTTAGGGATTTAATCAAACCTCTATTGGTTCTGTATTCTGACCTGAAATAAATGATGTGACTGTCCTGACACCATATTCAGTTGAAGATTTGCAATAGGTGCTAGTTTCCATTGCAAGTGGAAGAGTAGAGACGTACACAAAGATCAGGTAAGAAAACAACAAGAGTGAACACTAGATGTCACTCTCTCACTTTCTGTTTAAGAGTTTGAACTCTCACTGGAATAGGATTCAGCAAAATCATTAACAGGAGCTGCAGTTAACTCAAGAGTAACTTGGGACCATGTCACCATGACATCATGATATCATCAGCCTCACCTTTGATAAAAAAATTTAACACAAAATACAAAAATTTATAAAATATGAATTCACCGAGTTAAACAATGTTGTTTCTAATACTCATAATTTCATTTTTTCTTGTTGAAAACACACACAGTGAAACATATACCAATTCAACAATTTCCACATGTACAATTCAGTAACACTGATCATATTCTTCAAGATGTGCCACCATTCTCATCCTCCTTTTCTGAGTTGTTCCTCCCTCAATAACAGGAACTCACTGCCCCTTAAGATTCCTACCTAACTTCTCAAATACTATTGTCAGTTTGATCCCATATAAATAATTCTTTAAAAGAGCACAATGCTTCAGGCAGACATTCCTTACCAACTAAGCTAAACTATTGTTTGTTTGGTGGTGGTTGTTGTTAAGTGCCATGGAGTTGATTCCGACTCAATCACAACCCTATGTAGGATTTCCAAGGCACAGCTGGTAGGTTTGAACTGCTGACCCACAGCACCACACCAGAAGGCCATCATTTAGTGGTTAAACTATTTTTTACAACTCGACCATATATACTATCTGGCACTAATGTTGTTGTAATGTGCCGGGGAGGCGGTTCTGACTCATAGCGACACTGTACAGGGTTTCCAAGGCTGTAAATCTTTACGGGAGCAGAACGCCTCATCTTTCTCCCATGGATATCTGGCACTATACAGGACATTATTTCATTCATCTTACCTCACTTTCTGCATACTGCTTTAAGAGTTGATGCTGAAGTTCTTTGCTTTTTTCTAGTCCAGAATCTAACAGAATCTTCATTCCTAAGCAAACACCATCACAAATAGCATCCATAAAATCCTCCTAGAAAACATTTTTAAGCATTAATAGGAAAATTCTAGTTCTACATTTAAAAAAAATCAAACAATTATTATAATTTATGCTTATTTTAAGAGTATATTACATTCCAAATTCATAAAATTAAACTACAGTTGGAATAAGAACAGTTTATAAGGAAAGAAAATGAGGAAATCTGTACTTTAATATTCCACATGTGAAAAGTCAAACCCATTGCCACTGAGTTGATTCTGACCTATAGCGACCCTAGGACAGAGTAGACCTGCCCCCTAGGGTTTCTACAGCTACAAGCTTTACAGAAGCCAACTGTCACATCTTGCTCCCAGAGTGATTGGTAGGGTCAAGCCGAGCACTTTGACCACTGTGCCACCAGGGATCCTTATTCCACATATAGCACACTGAAAACGATACAATATTCACTATCTTAGGCAGGTCACTGTGGATAGAAGAGTTACACAAAAATATTCTTGTATAATACTGAAAACCAGTATATACTCATTTTCTAGACTCACAGAGTTCTTTGCTCCAGATTGTGCTGATTGGCTGAACAAATCCTCTGTAGGAGATGACTATTTATCACTTTTTAACCTCAATGGTTATGGGGAAGTTTCAAAAATTATCTAGTATATTTGACCAACTTAAATAAAAACAGTTTTAAAACTTATTGCCCAGCAACAGCACATGCTGTTTTGTAAAAGAAAAAAAACTTGTCAAGTTAAGTGATTCTAACTACTATCAGAAGCCTGTTACTCAGATAGAGCCTTTCAAAACTGATGTTGGTACATTACCTGAAAACTGTTAGCGTCATGGCTACTGGTTTCCAAAAAATGGAGCTTGCTCCCTTTCAGAACTGCTAATTGTCCCACATACTTCACAGCTTGCTGTACAATTTGAATCACTTTCTTTTCAGCCTCTTTTACCATTGATGAAATGTCTGAACAACATCCCTATAAGATAAAAAGAAACTAGATATCAGATATATGAGATCACAAGGGGTGGTGAAGAAAGGCAGAGACACAATCTGAAGAAAATAAATACTGTGTTCCTTCACATCGTGACTATACATCATCCAAGTCTCAGTCAGTCGGAACTAGGAACATATAGCTACTGACACAGCTACTGACAGCAATAGGGCAGTCTGTACCCTCAGAGGTCCTGCACATCATAGGAGACAGATGGCAAGTACGCAGCTAACTCAATGAATGGTATGATGGCTCTTCTGCCTGTCAGCTTTTCCTATCCTAACAACAATTTGAGAGATGGTTAGTAAAGATATTTTCATTTTCTATGCGGAGAAGGAAAAGGAGATGAAAAGAGGAAAAGGGAAGGGGAAGAGAAAACCCCTTTTCAAACAAAATCCGTCCCAAATTGACACTGAAGTACTCAAGGAGCATGGGACTGTCTCAAGCTTTTCTTCTTTGTTGCCTGACTGACCACTTTAGTGACTTCAGAATACTTTTCTTGGTCTGCTTTTCTGAAATATGCTAATTTTGTTCCTAAGAGGTAAAGCCTGCCAATCATACGTAAATACAAAGTGTAATCACTAAACCCATCTTAAATATGTAAGTCTCTCCTGAATTCAGCCTAATTTTGCCTCCAACTCGGCTGGTTTCTCTGCCCTTGGTTCTTTGATAAAACATTATTGGGCTATTGGTGGTGGTTGTGTGCTGTGGAGTCAATTCCGACTCATAGTGTCCCTGCATAGGGTTTTTGAAGCTATCAGTCTTCATGGGAGCAGAAAGCCTCACCTCTGTCCTGTGGAGTGGTTGGTAGATTTGAACTGCTGATCCTATTATATATAGCTGCCCAACTTGTAACCCACTATACTACCAGAGCTCCTTATTATTGGTTGTTGTTGTTGTTAAGGCAGAGTAGCCGGTTACGACCCATAGCAACCTTGTATAGGGTTTCCAAGCAGTGGGTGTAAGCTTGAACCACCAACCTTGTGGTGCAAACAACTTTGCAGTCCAGCGCATTAGCCCACAGCGCCACACTAGGACTCCTTATTATTGTTAGAAATTCCAAAATTAAATACTAAGTGTTCTTGTCAGATGTAAAGAGGGAAAGAATCTCTGCCCCAGTTACTCTAATAGGTTTGTGTGTTTTCAACATTAACCATCTGATCCTCATAGCAACCCCGCTAGGTGACGCTTTTATTTTCTAAGTGAAAATGAATTTAGCATGGTTTCTATTTGTTTTCCAAATTCCTAATCTAGGGGTTTTATTTTCATGGTTTCTGTTCTGCATTTGTAGGAGCTCTGGTGACTCTGTAGGATAAACACTGGACTGCTAACCACAAGGTCGAAGTTCAAGCCCACTAGTTACCATGCAGGAGAAAGATGAGATTGTTTGCTTCCGTAAAGATTTATAGCCTCAGAAACCCTATACAAGGTTGCCATGAGTCAGAATCTATGGCAGTGGGCTTGGGTTTGGTTTGATAACTGCCCTTGAGTGTGGCAGTGGCAGTCGTGGTTGTGTGCCATCCAGTCAGGTCCGACACATAGCAACCCTGTATAGGGTTTCCACAATGAGTCCTTGTGAAAAAAGACACACACAGTCCCATCCTCTCAGAGATTACTGTCCAAAAGTGTAGTCTTGCATATAATATGCTATATGTAAAGGCATAATTAGAGAACTAAGTAAGAAAGATGCCTAACCAAGTCTTGGGGAGATCCAGAAAGACCTGCTACAGGAGGTCTTAAAAGGTCATTAAAAACCAACACCCAATTTCAGTTTGCAGTTAGATCAATCAAAGATTTCCAGATCCTAGTCAGTAGTCAGCCCACCTACTTTAGGAACTCTACTACAATAATAGAATGTTCTCAAGGAACCCTTACAGAGCTTTTGGTATGGGTTGCATCTCAATATAAAGAAAACAAAAATCCTCACCACTGGACCAATAAACAGCATCCATATAAATGGAGAAATATTGAAGTTGTCAAATACTTCATTCTTCTTGGATCAACCATCAACACTCATGGAAGCAGCAGTCAAGAAATCAAATGATGTATTACATTAGGAAAATCTGCTACACAAGACCTCTTTAAAGTATTAAAGAGCAAAGATGTCAATTTGAGGACTAAGGTACGCCTGACTCAAGCCATGTTATTTTCAATAACCTCATATGCATGTGAAACTTGGATAATGAATAAGGAAGATAGTGAGTAAGTAGAAGAATTGATGCATTTGAGCTGTAGTGTTGGAAAATATTAGAAGTACCATGGACTGCCAAAAGAACAAACCAATCTGTGTTGGAAGAAGTAAAGTCAAGAATGCTTCTTGGAAGCCCGGATGGCCAGACTTCGTCTCTCATATTTCAGACATATTATCAGGAAGGACCAGTCCCTGCAGAAGGATATCGTATTTGGTAAAGTGGAGGGTCAGAGAAAAAGGGGGAAGACCCCACCCCCTCAATGAGATGGATTAGCACAGTGGTGGCAACAATGTGTGCAGGCTTAGCAACAATTATGAGGATGGCACAGGACTGGCACTGTTTCTTTCTATTGTGCGTAGGATCACTATGAGTCAGTGCCGACTCAATGACACCTAATAACAACAATCAGATATTATTCTTCGATATCAACTTTCATAGTAATACAGTCCTTGATTTTTCAGTTTGGCACAAAGCTGCCTAGAATGAAAACTACATTTCCCAAAAATATCTGTACTAGATATCACCATGTGATACAGTTCTGGCCAGTGATATTAAATAGAAGTGTCATATGGCAATTTCCAGAGTCTTTTTTTAATTGAGGGTACATGACCCTTTCTACTTCTTTCTCACATCTTCTATTCTGTGGGCTAGAACTCAGAGGGCATGGTACCACTGTGGTGGATATGAAGGCAGCTAGGCATCACCCACAGCAGAAGGGACACTGGAAGGAGTCTGCTCCCGAGGACTTTGTACAGCAGCACCACCATGCCTACTTTCAGATTTGAGAGAAGAGTAATAAGCTTTTGTCTTACTTCTTAAAGCCAAAAATAAGGAAAATAAAATTATTTTCTTTGCCTTTGTGTCAGCAAGTTTGTGACCGATTCAGCCTGAGCCAAAATCCATCCATAACATGAGTAAAGCTATGCCTCTCCTCCCCACCCCCACCTGAGGGCCAGCATGATAGAATGGTAAATGAAGAGCCTGGACTGTGGGCCTAAGTAGGCTTGGGTTCAAATTCCAACTGTACTCCTTATTAGTTACATAACCTCGGGCAGGCTACTCCTTCTCTCTTTGACTCCACTCTTCCATCTATAAAATGGTAATAATAACAGCATCCACTTCCAGGATTGTTATATGAGGATTACATCAGTTGATACTTGTAAATCACTTAGAACCTCCAGTGTCTAGTAAATAGAAAGCCATGTAAATCTTGGTGCAATAGCTCAATTAGGCTACCCAAAGTCTCAGGACTTCAAAACAGAAAGGACTTCTGAAAATCCGATCTATCTAAAAGAGATGATGCGGGGAAGATGCAGATAGTAGAAAGTCAGTAAATATTTACCGAACAAATTAATTCTTCAAATGGCTATTCAACAAATCAATTTACCTGCAAAAACAACTGCAAGTAGCCTCCCAGTTTCTTCACTTCTTGTCTCAATTCATCTTCAAGTCTTGCAGTGCTTGTACAAGGTAGAAACTCATTCAGCCAGTGCTTGCTTAGTACCACAAGCTGCTCAAATGCGCCTGCTACCTGGATGGTATGTGACTGGGCTGCTCGGTCAGAAGAGAACACTATGAAAGGAAAAGGAAAAGCAATGGAAAAAGTAAGCTCCAAATAAAAGGTCTCAGGTATGAACACCATTAGAACATTTTAATGTACTCTAAAATATTTGTGTGAGATGTGACAGCCATTGCACTCAAAGTAGAATGCCCAGGAAACAATTATTCATGTGAGTTAATAAAAGTAGTGAAGTGGGAGGCATTCCGGTTGTGGCGGGCAGCAGAGACACCCAGGTAGGAAAGGATCCCTGGGGGTGGGATTGAAAACATAGAGCAGCTGTGCTCATGGAACACCACCAGAGCTCTGCATCTAGCATAAGATATAGGGCGTCATTTTTCCACACACACAAGGGAAAAAAATCACGATATAAAGGAAAATACTGTGAGTTACTAAACGCTTGAGATGGGACTCCCTCTGCGGCCACCCCGCCCAGGGGGAGTTCAGAGGGCAGGGCTACAGCCAGACGAGCACAGTGAAACAGCACTAAAAGCGGCGCAGTGACATTGCAAAACGAGGTGCGGGGGCTTCTACACATTTTTCCTCCTTTTCCCTGTCGCACCTTCTTTGCCCAACCCGACACCTTCAGGTGGGTAGGTGTGCACCCCCCACCCCCACACCCCCCAAAAAAAGAGTCCACTGCTGAGCCCATAGTTTTCCAACGGCACAGAGAAAAATAACTTGGTGGCTGTTTATGATGTCAGCCTGTGGGTCCCAGCCCTAAAGTTTACTTGTGCAGGACCCTTTACTCAGAACCGACTCGACGGCACTTAACAACAATACAGCAAGAAAAAACCCGGTCTGGCCTGACAGACAAACCATATGAACAATCTGTAAAACCCTAACATAAAAGGAGGCAACTATCTCGAGAATTATGCTGTGCACACGTAGATACCTAACTGACCTTCAGAGACAAAAATAGTAGATAATCTTTTCTGCCATTAACTTCTCAATATCTATCTGCACACTTCTACGGTTGAGACTAGAGGAGGTGCCTGAGCGAGCAGACACCCCTACCCACTGCTTGAAGCTTCTACGGTACACACACACTGCCTGTGTAGCAAGGCGACCAGACAGTCGGCCACAGTTTTATTTTTGTTTCAAAGTGGTGGTTTTTCTCTCTGCTTTTATATTGCTTCCACTTTTGGTCTTTTTGATCATAAATGTTTCCTAAAGGTGGGAGCTTTTTCTCCATATTTTACCCAAGAAGAGTCAGCAATCATGGCCACATAGCCAAGCTACAAGCATACCCCATAATATTCCACCATTGAAATAGGCAATACAGTGAAAGGGGAAAGGAAAAGAATAGAAGAGATGGAAGCCAAAACTAGCGAGCTGGAAGACAAATCTCTCAATACTGCTAAGATAGAAGAACAAGCATAAAAAAAGGAATAGATAAATCTACAATTATAGTGGGAGATTTTAATATGCCACTTTCGAAAAGGGACAGAACAACCAGAAAGAAACTCGACAAAGTTACAGAGGAATTGAACAGCACAATCAACCAACTTGACCTCATAGATGTGCCAATTAATTGAAGAATGGTTAAAAAAAACTGAGGTACATACACACAATGGAATACTATGCTACCTTGAAGAATAACAAGGAAGCTGCAGGCCACCACATAACGTGGATGAATCTTGAGGACATTATGCTGAGTCAAATTAGTCAGTCACAAAAGAAGAAATACTGCATAGGACCATTATTGCAAAAGAGAAAGAAAAAGAACTCACACTAAAAGGGGGTAAAATTATCTCTCTATTTGCTGATCACCAGGATGTATGGGATGAGAGGAGGAGGGGGAGGGAGAGGAAGATAGAGCACAGGGTAGGGAAGAGACACAGGATAGTTTTGGGGGGGCGGCAATACACAAGAGGGGAGGGGAGGGGAATGGAAGAACAAGGCTGATGGGAGAACAATTAGGCAGGTTTGCATGGGCTAAGTGGGACAGAGGTAAATGATGATATATGCACAACCTTGGAAAAACAGGGCTCTGGGATACAGGGATTGCGACATGGTTTGAAGGGGTAAAAGAGGGTAATGATGTTAAGCTGCTTGGCTGTCTTTTGAATCTTGGTTCCCCTATTGTAAAATAGACACTTGAGGGGGGAGAAAGGAATAACCAGAATCATCACTACAGAAACCTTATAAGTCCATTTTCAGCCTATAACGGAATAGAATACCTTAAAGGGGGCAAGAAGTTGTCCAGTGAAAGAGGCTTCCTATGGAGCCTTTACATTGTACAAGACCAGAGGTGGAATCCAGAACCCCATCCAGAACTGACGGAGGTGGGAAATTTCCACTGGACAGGATGACTATACCAGCCTGGAGTGGCTAGAAGATCAGAAGATACTTCATGAAAGAAAGACCGGCAGGGAAAATCCGAAACAATAATGGCAGTCTGATTGATTACTACAAGAACAAGTAAGCTGTTCGCCCGGGAGCCATCAAGGCAAGTGGTTGGGACTCCTCAGAGCAAACCCCCTTCCAAGACTGAGACTCAAAGGGAATACATGAGCAGGTATGTGGTCTGGCTGGTAACCACGATGGTCACTGATAAGGGGAAGAGGGGGGGAAAAAAACAGCAATGAAATTGTGAGCTAAGCCTGACCACATTCAATAGACGCCTGTGAACTCGGGTAGAGACCTGGACGGCCAGCAATATGGCAAGACGCAGGGACTTCTGGGCCCAGAGGCAGTGACATGGCCACAGTGGACTAGAGTGGAGAGTGAAGCGTCCAGCTGATATGAAGTGAGGGGAGATGCACAAGAACACCCATACTTGCAGATAGTACCCACTTGACCTGGCTTTGATGGCTGGATGATCAGAACTCAAGTAGCAGAAGAAAGAAGCAGGGAGGGATGGAGAAGAGTAACCTGCTACAATTTGATGACTTTTACCTATACTTATGAATGTAATAGCTCAAAAAAGGGAAAAAATCTTTACAGCTAGGATCACTACCACCCCCTCGGTACACAGGGTTGACAGGGATAGGCAACTTAGACATTGGCTACCCAAAATGGGGGTGCCTATAAAGGCAAGACGTGACTGGCTTACAAGCTTTCAAAAGGGAGCCGAGTTCCAGACAGGGCAGGGAAGGTAGAATCACCACTGAATGATTTCCAATCAGTTGGGACCGGGTTGGTGAAAGGAAGTGGGGATAAGACTCTTGTGGTACAACAGTGAATAATTGCTATCAGGACTGACTGTGAGGGTAGGAAATATAGAGGTAGATGGTTTTTGACAAAAGGAGGAGAGTGATTGATTTTGCAGCCCAGGAGCGGAGGTCATTGGGACAATCAAGTGAGAAGAACGGAGAGTGGGACCATACTCCGAAAGGCAGTGACACCAGGGATGGAGACAGAGACAATGACGTGGACAGATAGAGCAGCTGGGGACAGTGGACTTAGGGAGGGAGAAGGGCTGTGTGCTGGTGGCCAGGGTGCAGGACTATGTGGTGTAACCTTTGGTTATTTGATGATGCATAGAGGGGATTGTAATCATTGCAATGAAACGAAATACGATAGGATAATTGTAAAGCTGATGTTCTCCCATGTAAACCTCACAATAAAAACTTAAAAAAAAAAAAGTAGTGAAGCGACTTACAGTTATCATGACTTTCTTCATCTTGTTCTTCATGAGTTTTGGAAATGATAAATACACTAGTATAAATTTTTAGGAAGTTATCAATTAGACTGTCTGCCATAGTCTTTTCTTCATTAAAACTCTGTCCAAGAAAATCTAATGAAGAACCAATCAATTCTTTGCAAATTCCAGGAAGAAATGATTCTGGTGAATTTGAGCAAATGGTACTTGATTTCTCCATTAAACCTGTAGCAACAGAAAACAGTCATCTTAAGGCTGGTTTTCAGGTGCAAAGTTATCTTTCAAACAATGTATTTTGATTCTAGCATATTATTGGATCACTGGTTAAGAAATTCAAAGTGGGTCATTCTAATTTCAATCCATCCTTATTTCCATAAGCCAAAGTGAAAACACAGTCCCATGAAACCATTAGTGAACCTCTCAACAGCATCAATCTATATAGGATTAGTAGATCCTCACCAGCAATACAGGTTAACAGAGAATTCCAAAATCCCACGCCACCATTGACTTAATCTCCTTTATTGACTTTTTGGTAAAAATGAATCTTCCCTAACACATAATGAAGTATAAATTAGTGAAAACAATGACAGTCAATTAAATAAAACTGGAAAAATAGGCAATATATGGTATTAAAAGGAATGTCCCGGTACCTCTAGAATATATCCTTCTTTAAGTATATGTGGGAGAAAGGTGAGGCTTTCTGCTCCCATAAAGATTTACAGCCTCGGAAACCCTGTACAGGGTCGCTATGAGTCGGAACTGACTCCACGGCACATAACAGCAACAGGTATATGCAACAATCAAACTAGAGAAAAGTGAACCAAATAGCTACAGTTAAGATACCACATCTCAGGGAAGTGAATGTTCAGAAACCTTGACTTCCTAAGCACTGTACAAAGCAAGTAAATGGAAAAGCTTGAAAGAACTCATGCAGAACCTCTGGAAAGAACTTTTTCTAGAGTGCTAACCCATAAGTATAACCATTCTCATTTAAAACATGGGTTCATTTCCAGGTCCAGTCCAGAGCCTATTAGAAACAGCAAATCAAATGAAGGTAGAATAAAGGCAAAGGGTGGGACTGTCAAAGAGGATAAAACAAATATACCATAATTTGTTGTTGTTGTGTTATGTGGCGTGGAGTCAGTTCTGACTCATAGTAACCCTGCACAGGGTTTCTGAGGCTGTAAATCTTTACGGGAGTAGAAAACCTCATCTTTTCTCAGCCCAATTCGTAACCACTATGCTACCAGAGCTCCTTTAACTTAATTTAGGAAGGGAAACAGAGAAAAGCTACAAATCCCCAAACTACACTGCTATAGGGTTATAAGAATCCGTATCATTATGATGATTAGGATAGTACAGCCAGGAAGAAAAGTTAGCCACATAATCTATGTTTAAGAAGATCATTATAATATTAATGCATTCTAAAGTTCAATATTAACATGTTAGAAAGTCTTGCAAAAACCTGGTTTTAAAATATTACCCTTAAAGTATAAAGTTAAGGCGCTCAGGTTCCCAAGCTGGAAAGTGCTGGGTGCAGCCTCCCATCTTCTTTCTAGAACCTGACCATTGCCCAGACAAGTTCGGACTAAATATATGTGTGCTTCCATTTCCCTTTTTTAACACTGAAAATAAGCAAAGACTTCTTATAACTCTGATTTCCCCTTTAATACAGTAACTTAACTTCTAAAACAGGGACTGCTTAATTTATCTGGAAAGGTTACTTTAGTGAAGCCTCTTACTCTCAAATACTGCTATAAAAGTTGGTACCATATAAATATCTCCTTTTATTTTGCTGGTTTGAAAAAAAACAACCCTACAGCATATTTTGATCTACCTTAGATGAAATAAGTATTGCAAATAATAATTATTTTCCTAAAAAATAAGTTTATGATTAGCAAAAAGAAACCCTAATTTAAAGTCAAGTTCAGAAATCATTTCTTTTATTGCTACTCATACTTGGTATTTTTCGTCTCTAGATTATTATGCTACATAATAATTTTAACACTTTTAGTTTACTTATGTATAATTTATATGCAGTAGAACATGCAAATCAATCAAGTAAACAGCTTACTGTTTTATTAATATATCTATGTTCCAGTGTAAGGAGCTCTGGTAGTGTAGTGAATATGAAATCAGGCTGTGAACCTTAAGGTCAGGAGATCAAAACTACCAGCTCTTGTTCTGCAGGAGAAAGATGAGGCTTTCTGCTCCCATAAAGATTTACAGCCTCGGAAAATCTGTACAGGGTCGCTATGAGTCGGAACTGCCTCCACGGCACATCACCACCACCACCACATGTCAGTGCAACCTCACTGACATTAGAGTACACAACATTTCCATCATCCCATCCAAAAGGTCCCCAGACAATATGCCCTAGTGGAGGTAACCACCATTCTAATCTGAAGGATCTTGACTTCTGTCACCATAGATTAGTTCACCTATTCTTGAACTGGGTTCTGTGTGCCTGGCTTCTTTCACTCAAAACTAATGTTTTGGGGTTCATTCTACTGTATGAATCAGCAGTTCATTCTTTTTCATTGCTGCATAGTAGCCCATTTTTACTGCACAATAATTTTATTATAAGTAGTTACATGTATAGATTTATAGCACATTCTCTGTTGTAAAGGCAAATTAACAGTACAATCCATATTGGAATAAAATAATTAATCAGAGGGGTAACTCTCATAATTTCTTCCTTTTGTTTTTCTTGCCAATTAAAGCAATTTTGGAACTGATGCTACATGCATATCATAAATATCTAAAAAGGAACCAGATGGAATACGGTCAAATGGAAGCATCCATTCCTATCTTGTGCCCCGTCTAGTACCACAAACCACACGGTTTTTACCTTACAGTGTGCTTCTCAAGCAGGATTTTTCTCATTTCCAAACAGAGATGTAGACATCTTTTTTCTCCTCTCCACACAATATATAATAATCTTCTCTACTTTGCTTTTTCCCACTTATTATAAGAAAATAATGAACTCATGGTGTGGTGCTGTAGGATAAACACTGGACTACTATCAGCAGGGTCGGCAGTTCAAACCTACCAGCTGCTTCTCGGAAACCCTATACACGATAGCTATGAATCAGAACTGACTCAACAGCACTTAACAACATCAACTACAAAAATAATATTTCTGAACACATATATACCTTCTACATTTGACTTACCCATTCTATGAAGAGCTTTGAAATAAATCACATAGCACAAAACTTTAGAAGTAGAAGAGGCCATCCCATCCATCCTCCTCATTTTATAGAGGACACTGAAACCTCTAAGAGGTGAGATGATATATGTTGTTGTTAAATGCTGTCAAGTCGGTTCTGATTCATAGTGACCCTGTACAGGGTTTCCAAGGAGCAGCTGGTGGGTTTGAAATGCTAACCTTGTGGTTCACAGTCTAGTGCTGATTCTACTGCGCCACACCAGGAATCCTCTGAAATGATATCTATAGGTCACAGAACAAGGTAGTGGTAGGGCCTGGACTAAAACCTTGGAGCTTTTCTCACTGTATAAACAGATTTGATTCACAAAAGTACCTGAAGAATGTGAAGAAATCAAATTCTTTATCAGGGGGACTTGTATGTCATGTAAACAACCAGAAATTCTTCTGTTCTTCATCAAACTCCTACTCCTAAAAAGAGAGAAGCCGTAAGAATATTTGTTTAAATGAGATATCATCTCACACACCAACAATAAAAGCAAAGATGAAAAATGTAGAGGACAATAAATGCTGGCGGGGATGTGGAGAGACTGGGACACTCCTGCATTGCTGGTGGGACTGCAAAATGGTC